TGTGTGTCACCTGCCCCCGTGGCAGTGTCCCCTCCCCAGTGTCCCCTCCCCCCCCGGGGGTGACAGACCGGTCCCGCTGTCCCCGCGTGACGTCACCGGGCCACGTGGCCGCGGCCGCTCTGTCCCCACCTCGGGCCACCGGGGCTCGCGGGGACACCGGGGGGGTCCGGCCTCACCTCCTGTCCTGTCCTGTCCCCGCCGGGTGACACTGTCCCTCCGGTGGCCACACCCGAGACACCTCCAGGGCCACCCCCGGGTCACCCCCAGGGCTGCCACGGGGTCACCTCCAGTGCCACCGCAGTGCCACCCCCAGTGCCACCCCACGGCCACCTCCAGTGCCACCACGGGGCCACTCCGGGGCCACCCCGAGCCACCTTCAGTGCCACCCCTGGGACCGCCCCCGAGCCACCTCCAGTGCCACCTCCAGTGCCACCCCCAGTGCCACCCCGGGCCACCCCCGAGCCACCCCCAGTGCCACCACGGGACCACCTCCAGTGCCACCCCAGGCCAGCCCAGGGCCACCACGGGGCCACCCCGGGCCACCTCCAGTGCCACCCCGGGGCCACTTCCACTGCCACCACGGGGCCACCCCCAGTGCCACCCCTAGGCCACCTCCAAGGCCCCCCCCAGTGCCACCCCAGTGCCACCCCAGGGCCACCCCCGAGCCACCTCCAGTGCCACCCCAGTGCCACCCCAGGGCCACCTCCACTGTCACCCCAGGGCCACCCCCGGCCACCCCGCTGGCCCCGGCGGTCCCGGCGGTCCCGGTGGCCCCGGGGCTCGCGGCGCTGTGGCCCGCGGGGGGCCCCGCGCGGCGGCCGCGGAAATGCCCGGTGCTGTTCTTCGAGGTGGAGATCCTGGACGCGCGGAGCAGGGAGAAACTCTGCTTCCTCGACAAGGTACCGGGACGGGACGGGACGGGGACAGGGACAGGGACAGGGGACAGGGATGGGACAGGGGGACAGGGACAGGGACAGGGGACATGGGGACATGGGGACAGGGATGGGACAGGGACTGGGACGGGGATGGGATAGGGGGACATGGGGACAGGGACGGGGACATGGGGACAGGGATGGGACAGGAGGACAGGGATGGGACAGGGGGACAGGGACCCGCGCAGGGACAGGGACAGCACCGGCAGAGCAGGTGGGACACGGGGGGACGGGGACAGGGGACAGGGATGGGACAGGGGGACAGGGACATGGGGACAGGCACAGGAATAGGGGGACAGGGACAGGGACAGCACCGGCAGCGCAGGTGGGACGCGGGGGGACGGGGACAGGGATGGGACAGGGGGGACAGGGACAGGGACATGGGGACGGGGATGGGGCAGGGACAGGGACATGGGGACAGGGACATGGGGACAGGGATGGGACAGGAGGACAGGGATGGGACATGGGGACAGGGATGGGACAGGAGGACAGGGATGGGACAGGGGGACAGGGATGGGACAGGGGGGACAGGGACAGGGACATGGGGACGGGGATGGGGCAGGGACAGGGACATGGGGACAGGGACATGGGGACAGGGATGGGACAGGAGGACAGGGATGGGACATGGGGACAGGGATGGGACAGGAGGACAGGGATGGGACAGGGGGACAGGGATGGGACAGGGGGGACAGGGACAGGGACATGGGGACGGGGATGGGGCAGGGACAGGGACATGGGGACAGGGACATGGGGACAGG